ATCATTAATAAGTTGATATTTTTCCAAATGCGAGCAAATCCTATCCCTATTCCCAATAATTTCCCTACTACTAACGTAGTGTCACTGGCCTGTAATTTCCTGGATTATCCCTGTTGCCCTTCTTAATCAAAGGAACAAAGTTGGTTATTACCTTTAGACTTGTCATTGGGACTATAGCTACATTTCCCTTTGGTCTGCATCATCATGGTGTATGAAGCAAAGAAGTGAAGAGATTTGCAGAGGAAGTAGGAGATGAGCTTCCTTTAGGAGGCCTTGCCCACTGAGGTATTCAAGTCACACTTCTCTTACCTCCACCTCAGCTAGGTGCAGCTGCAGAACAGTGACACCTCCTAGAGCCAGACCTGCACCCGTATGGTCAGGTCTGTCTCTGTGGCCATCAATATCACCATACCCAAGATTACTACACTACAAGTTCCGTCAAGGCTGGAATCAGTGTCATTGGCAACAATCATAGTTTGCTGCCCATCACCGCATCCAAGATGGCAGCATGCAGGAAAAGGGACTTTCTTGTCTTGTTTCTAAGCAGAATGAAAACAGAGGACATGGCTTTGTCAGGATACTGGGCTTCCCCATGGTTGGGGGATTGAAGAACATATGTGGCCTTGTTGGAGGCTCAGCTCAAAGATGAGACGAACTGCTGTCGAAAGACGTACTGCTCACTTGGCATGTGCCCAAAATACCATACTAGTGAACGCTTGCTGGCTTCTCAGCAATCCTGATCCTTTTATCCTGCTCCTGTTGACAGTTAAAGCCATTTTCAAACAAAGGCTAGAGAATGGCTACTGGGCAACAAGCATGCCGCCTACCACCCAACCACACGTGAGCTCTGTTTCTACAATGAGAACCGTGCTGCATCCAAGAATGTCAAGAAGTGGACAATCAGTAATTACAATTAATTACTCAGGTGGAGCTTTCAGTATTCGCCGGAGTGTGTCTTCTGACCATTGTGGCCTGTTGCATCTTGCACAACCAGGACATTGTGTCAGTGCAGCCCTTGTCACCAGTGATGACATCAGGATGAACAGGAACAGGAAGGGAGGAGGCAGTCAACATAACCAGAGTGGCTGTCCACCAGTGTTTCACCAGACTTTGCTGGCAATGAAGAAATCCCTGGATTTCCATTGTGCAGCTTTCCATCTCTCTGTTGTGGACCATCCCAGATCCTCTTGATCCCAGTCCTTACATGAAACAACTCCACCATAAAAAAAAGCAATTATATCCAAAAAGACATCTACCTGTTCTGTTCTGGACAGTCAGTGGATTCTGAAGAGGCCAGTAACCCATCACCAAGTCACCCTTCATTTACACCTGGAGAGTCCTTGACATTAACCCAGCTTCCTCAGAGCCAGCTCTCAGAGTGAACAGAACCTCTGACACTCTTGTTTTTCATCTGTCAGCCAGGGCCCTCTGATTGGACCAGATTAACAGTCCCAGTCAGGGAACTCATATTCTATGAGGTCCAACTGGCTGACCTCGCTACAATCACTACAGGCTCCGGTTGAGCAAAAGAACATGCAAAGTCATTGTTTATTGCAATGACAGGGAGGTTTACTCAATCACTGTGCACTCTGCAAAAGCACACAACAAGTAAGCACAAGCCCACAATTCAGCTAGTGATCACATGACACTTCTTAAAGGGACAGTATCCCACCATTACATGCACCAGATATAATACATAACACCAACACTACAAAGTAACTGAACTGTTCATTCTTTTGCATTCCTCTGTCTTGTGGATATCCTTGCCTGTCCTAATATTCCTTTGCTGTGCTACCTTTAACTGGGGAAGACTCCAAATGGCCTTTTAAGGAAAAATTGAGAACCTGGCTTTGTTACTGCACCACCTTGGCATAGGTGGTAAAGTTCTGGGCTGATTGACTCTGAAGCAGCTGCACAGAGACTGATGGAGTAGCAGTGGTAGGAGCATAAATGCTGTCACCTGGAGGAAGGGCAGCAAGTTCACACTCCACAGTGCTACTGCCACTATCTTGAGTTTTTAAATGTTGGGAAGATAGGTTGCTGGCTGTTTTGAGACCTTCACAAGTCCCTTTTGAGTACTAATATCGGTGACTATGGTGGCAGTAATATGAACATGCATGGGACCAAGCTGGGCTTGTACATAAAGAAGCCCCAATCTCATAATCTCAGCCTGAATTTCTGCTGCAGCACTGAGACATTGGGATGAATGTAATGCCCTCCTTCATATCATGTTCAGTAGCAGAGTATCTAAACAGTTGGGACTCCCTCTACCTTCCTACCTCTTTCCCAGTTAATACTCACACAAGGGCCTCACCCCATGGCAATTGATATTTATCCAGAGCAAGGTGGGAAATTTGCAAAGTGGGAAGCCTGAAAAGTAAAAGAAACTGCTGTTTAGATTATTTAATGCTTTTGGGGGCAATGCCTCTTTCATTAAGACATTCTGACCAAGGCACACTGCAGTGAGAAAGGTGCATGGAGCCATTTCAGAGCCACCTTGACCTTTCTGTTGACTGTCTCTTCGCTTGCAACCTTAAACCAATTTTCCCCTTCTCAACATCACTCATCTGTGGCCTGGGACCCTCAGTGATCTTAGATCTTGGCTGGATGTGTTACACACAGCAGCAACCACAGAACATTGGTTGGCAGTCCTCAGTGGGCACGAACTTTGCCCCCATGATGCTTTATCCTGAGGATAACCACTACTGCCCTGCTGTGCTTGAGTGGTACTTAACCTGCAGGCTTTCCCAAAACAAGGCAATGCAGGACTTTTATTGGCTCTTCAGCCCATGGGCAAGACCCTTCCTTTGCCAGCATTAAATCCCACCTATTGATTTCTTCCTGTGTTGCAATGGAAATTGAGATATCAACCATCAGATGCTCCTTCAAGGCTGGTGAAGTGCAAATGTTCATTTAATTGGTTACCAATTCGATATTGGAAAGAATGGACTCCAGGCTGTGTGCAAAGTCCTGCGCCAAGCTGGAGCTGGATTCTTCCAATGCTCCTTAGCAGAGACAGTAAGTTCTTCAGCAGGTTTGCAGGTTTACCCAACAACACCAGAATACTCCTGTCTGTCACCGCCCCCATCAAAATTTTCATCTGAGTTCTCTGCAACAGAACTCACCTGCAACCTTGCCCTCCATTGAGTTGGTACACTTGCAACTGTTTCCTCTGGTATTGCTGCAGCTCACGTCCAGCCTCTATACTATCCTCTGCACACTCTTCCAGAATCTGAGCTGATGACTACAAGTATCAGCTTAAGTGAAGACGGTTCTTCCTTGGAGCTTTGCTCTTCTTCTAGACAGTCTTCCTCAAGTGCCACTGGCTGGTTAGACAACAGTCTTTGGGTTTAAAAACATGAATGACCAGGGGAGGTTTGGGATGATTGATATGGGGAGGAGGGAAACCAGGAAGTATGTGGTTATGCCATCTTCTGCTTGTATTGCACACCAGATTGCAAGATGAGAGCAATTTGGGATTTCACAGACTAAAAGAATTGCTGCAGTGCAAAAGGAAGCCATTTGGCTCATTATTCTGCATTAGTTCAATTTCCTAGTGCCAATCTCCTCCCTTTACCCCATTTCAGAAGTTCCTTAAGGAAGAAAAGTACCATCATAATGGATAACTTCAGCAATTCCATTTGCTACAGCCTCAGCGATGGCTGCATCAATCACGTTGAGCACTCTTTCCTCTGAGGGACACTTGAAGCCCTACCTGACCTCGACTGATTGTTTTTAACTGCCTTCTCTTAGAGAGCCACCTCGTCCTATAAGAGAAAGAATGTTAGTGACTGATATTCAATATGTTTGGGTGTATGACTATTACAGCTGGACAGTTGAATCATATAGAAACTATGATGTGGGTGAAAGAATTGCAGCATTAGTAAACTGTTTGAGGGTGAACTGGAGCCTTTGAATGATTGATGGGATGGTGAAGTGTGAGGTTGGGTGGTGCAGTTATGAGCACAACCGACCTTGACCATTTGAATAAAGTCATCCTTCTGTCATTTTGTCCAGATCTCTAAGCCAGAATCCCTATTCTCTGTATGAAAAATTTATCCATACACTGTCTGTGTGATGGGCCCTCTGGGCCCAGCATATAGATTACGTCTCACTTCTTTCTTTTTCCTGCATTATGGCTGTCAGTGCTGTGTAGGAGAACATAGAAACCCACATTGTGGTCTGCCATGCCCTTCGTCAGATTTCTACCATAGTTTCCACTAGGTGGAATGAGCTGTTGCAGCCAGAATACATCTCTCCCTTCAAAAAAGCAAGCCAGCTTTAATTGGAAGTATGTCAGTCAGTTCACAAAACCTTGTTACCAGCTTAGTTTGTAGTCATTCAGTAGCACCTTTAGTGCTAGAATGCATGGAAATAAATAAGCTAGTATAAACTTGCATGATACTGCTTTACTCTCATCAGATCTGGGTTAATCATGCATTGCAATCCCCCACACTCATTGATAGGGCTGTATCATATCTTAAACCTATTATTTACATGACAAAATCTTACAAATTGTAAGCAAATGTAGAACTTTTCTGTAGAATTTATTTTGTTGTTTCTGCTGGAGATATCTGGAAAACCTTTCAACAAAAAACACTGTCACTTCAAAACCTGGAGATCAAAGCAGTTCCAAAATTGGCCACCATAAAATGGTGAAGTACAGATTGATTCCAGTAGTCCCCAGATATTGAATTTTTAATCACATGTGTGGAATTTGAGAAATTTTAAAAAAACTGTAAACTCAGAAATGTAGGTACTGGTCATACTGGTTCTCCATTTTGAAGTAGTCTAGTCAAGCAGGTAATCTCATTTACCAGTTTTACTTGTTTATCTTTGTGGGTAGGGAGGCAGCCAACAGAGAGACAAAGCCAGCCTCGCTCTATTTGTATACAGAGCAGCCTGGCAGAAATCTGAGGTTTTAGTTACAACATATTTCATGGGAAAAAGCGCTTAAACAAAGCTGCTTTTTAATTTTCTTTCAAATTCCCCTTTTCCAGAAATATAAAATAAAGGTGGATCATAAAACCGGTTTAGTGGAAATGATAATGGACAAATTGGAAGATACAAATGAAGGCACTTATACTGTACAGCTCCAGGATGGTAAAGCAAGCAATCAATCTAGTCTTGTTTTAATTGGAGATGGTGAGTATTTTTACTGCTTTTGTCTTAGTGAATACAAATGTCAAGCACAAACAACAGAAACAAAACATCATGTATTAATTGTGAAAATAAATTCTAAATTTTAAGTGCAGCTATTAACAGTGGCTGTCATAATCACCTCCAAGTCTTTTTTTTTAAATGCAATCATGCTTGCAATGCCCACTTACTGACTTCTTGGTCAAATTCAGATGATTCCGGTATGTCATTTTTATCTGCAATGTGTTTATGGCATGTAGTCAGAAGAGTAGTCCTTCATTCTTAGTAAATACTACTTAGTTCAAATTGCCTTTTCTCTTTGAGGCCCGTAATCTCAGCGTTAATTCCGGGCATGGTAATGACAGTGTAATTGCAAATGGAAAAAGGAAGCAGAACAATTCAGCTAATGACTCCATCAATGCCTCCATTTCCACAGAACCCCAATGTTGCCATTCAGCTCCTGACCTCATTACAGCCTTGGTCCAAATTTGGACAAAAGAGCTGAACTCAAGAGGAGAAGTGAGAGTGACTGCACTTGACATCAAAGCAGCATTTGAGTATGACCTCAAGTATGGCATTGAGGTGTTCTAGCAAGACTGAAGCCAATGAGAACAATGGGGGCAAACTCTGTATTGGTTGGAGTCAAATCTGGCACAAAGTAAAATGAATGTTGGAGATTAAACCTCACAGTCCCAGAACATAACTGTAGGTGTTCCTTGGGTTAGTGTCCTGGGTCCAACATTTCAGTTGCTTCATCGATGACCTCCCCTCTATCATAAGATCAGAAATAGGGATTTTCACTTATAATTGAACAATGTTCAATACACTTTATGATTCCTCCTCAGTTGGTGAAACAGTCCGTGTCTCTATGCAATAAGACTGAGACAACATCCAGTCTTAGGCTGTTAAGTGTTCAACAGCTCCTTTCAAACCTGTTACCCTTACAATCTGGAAGGACAGCAGATACATGGGAACACAACAACCAGGAAGTTTCTCTCCAAATCACTCACCATCCTGATTTGGAATAAAAGTTTATGGGCCAAAATCCTGGAGCTCCCTCCAGAGCAGCACTGTGGGTGTATCATGCACTGTAATGGTTCAGGAGGCCAGCTCATCACCACCTTCTCAAGGGCAGCTAGGGATGGGCAAGAAGCATTAGTGAAGACAGTGGTGCCCATGTTAAAGGGAAGAATTTGTAAAAACTTCTCCTTCATTGTGCCTTTCCACACTTCCCCATGTAGAAGAAGCCTATCTAATTTTTTTTTAAGTAAACTTGCCTCATTGGTGTCTAATTTTCTTCTTTCTCCTGTACCTGAGAAGCAATGGCAGCAGTGCAACAGAACAATATTCTAACCATTTGTCAATGGATTTTAGTGAACAGGAAATTAATGGCAGGTCTGATTCGACTTTGGCATGACACCTATGAACCACTTTAACTTCAGCAATGTTTCAACTGATATCATGGAAATGAAGAAACAAATATTAAAAATGCTAGAGATAACAAGGTGTAGAGCTGG